CTAAAAGATAAGGAACATAAGGGTATGTTGGGCTGGAGGAATGGGTTAGAAGCTCCACCAGCGGATGCTTTCGGTAAGAGAGTGTGTCTATCATGGTTTATTGTTACTGTATTTGCTTTTAATGAATGAGTGAGCTTTTTGAGGACAGGCAAATACTTGGTGGAATGATTAGACATGAGGATTCCTGGGGCCTTCCTATTCTCAGTCTTGAGGGGTTATGATGGGAAAGTTGGTGACCAGAAACTATGTTTTTAAAAGCCAGGGCTAGACAGAATTTTGTTGTTGAAACTGAAGTGTTTAGGAACAAGCTGAGGGCCGGGCATGGTGGCTCACGCCTGTAATCCCAGCACTTTGGGAGGACAAGGCAGGAAGATCGCTTAGGCCCAGGAGTTCAAGACTAGCCTAGGCAACATAGTGAGACCCTGTCTCTACAAAAAAAAAAAAAAAAAAAAAAAAAATTTAATTAGCTGGGTGTGGTGGTCCACACCTGTAGTCCCAGCTACTTATGAGGCTGAGGTGGGAGCATCGCTTGAGCCTGGGAGGTTGAGGCTGCAGTGAGCCATGATCGAGTCACTCACTGCTCTCCAGCCAGGGCAACAGAGTGAGACCCCATCTCTAAAAAGAAATAACATAATCCTGAGGCAGGAACAAGGTGTTCCTAAAATTTATAGGAAATGCAAAAGATCTAGAATAGCCAAAACAATTTTTAAAAAAGAGCAAAAGTGGAAAACTTTCATTTTTCAATTTAAAAACTTACTATAAAGCTACAGTCAAGGCAATGTGGTACTGGCATAAAAATACACACAATGGACTGGGTACAGTGGCTCACTGTTGTAATCTTAGCACTTTGGGAGGCCAAGGCAGGTGGATCGCTTGAGGCCAGGAGTTCATTTAAGACCAGCCTGGCAATATCTCTACAGAAAATACAAAAATTGGTCAGGCATAGTGGTGCATACTTGTAGTCCCAGCTACTTGGAGGCTGAGGTGGGAAGATGGTCTGAGCCTGGGAGGTGGAGGTTGCAGTGAATTGGGATAGCACTACTGTGCTCCAGCCTGGGAGACAGAGTCAGATCTTGTCTGAAAAAAAAAAAAAAAGAATAGATGTATAGATCAATAGAACAGAACCGATAGTCTGGAAATAAATCCTTATATTCAGTAGATTTTTGACAAAGTTGCCAAGGTAATTTATTAAAGAAAGGATAATACTTTTAACAAATAATGCTGGGACAAGTGAATATCTGCATGATGAAGTTAGACATTTATTTCACATTATATATAAAAACAAACTATTTTTTATTTTTGTATTTTTTTGAGACAAGCTCTTGTTCTGTTGCCGAGGCTGGAGTATAGTGGTACAGTCACAGTTCACTGCAGCCTCGACCTCCTGGGCTCAAGGGATCCTCCTGCCTCAGCCTCCTGAGAAGCTAGGACTACAGGCTCATGCCACTACACCTGGCTAATAATTTGTATTTTTTGTAGAGACAGGGTCTCACTATGTTGCCCAGGCTGGTCTCAAACTCCTGGGCTCAAGTGATCCTCCCACCTGAGCCTCCCAAAGTGCTGGGATTACAAGTGTGAGCCACTGCGCCCAGCCTAAAAATAAACAAAAAATAGATCATAGACTTAAGTGTAAGAGCTAAAACAATAAAACTTATAGAAGAAAACATTGGAAAACATCTTTGAGACTTCAGGTTATGCAAATATTTCTTAGATAGAACAACAAAGGCACAGTCTATAAAAGAAGAAAAAATGAATACTTTGGACCTAATCAAAATTCAAAATTTTTGCAGTCCAAAATGAAGAACAAATAAAATGAAAAGACAAACAGGAGACTGGGAGAGAATATTTCTAAAACATGTATCTAATAAAGAAGTTGTATCCAGAATATATACTCATATACCTCAGTAATAAACAGATAAAAACCCACTTACAAAAATGGGCAAAAGGTTGGGTGTGGTGGTGCCTCACGCCTATAATCCGAACACTTTGGGAGGCCGAGATGGGCAGATCACCTGAGGTCAGGAGTTTGAGACCAGCCTGGCCAACATGGTGAAACCCTGTCTCTACTAAAAATACAAAATTAGCTGGGCATGGTGGCACACACCTGTAATCTCAGCTATTTGGGAGGCTGAGGCAGGAGAATCACTTGAACCTGGGAGGCGGAGGTTGCAGTGAGCTGAGATGGCGCCATTGCACTCCAGACTGGGTGAAAAGAGTGCAACTCTGTCTCAAAAAAAAGAAAAAAAGGCAACAAGAGTGAATAAAAATTTTACCAAAAAGAATATGAATGACTACAAAGCACATGGAAAGATGGTCACTAGTCACCATGGAAACACAAATTAAAACCACAACAAGATACCATGTTACACCTTTTAGAATGGTTACACCAAAAAGACAGAAAGCAAATATGGCAAGGATGTGGAGAAATGAGAACCCGCCTGCTTGCTCCGGGGAATGTAAATTATCCACTTTGGAAAATAATTTGGTCATTTCCTAAAAAGTTAAACCTACACTTACTTTATCATCCAGCAATTCTACTCCTAGGTATTTATCCAAGAGAAATGAAAACATATATTCACACAGACTTATATGCAAATATTCATAAGTCTTATTCATCATATCCAGAAATTGGATATTATGAATACTCAATATTTAAGACATGTAAATACTTAGTGGAATGATTAGACTGTGAATTCCTGGGGCCTCATGTTCTCAGTCTTGAGGGGTTATGATGGGAAGGTTGGTGACCAGAAATTTTCCTTTTAGAAGCAACTGTCTTTTTATAAACCATTCTAAATGTCCATCAACAGGTCAATGGAGATACAAAAAATGTGTTATATCCTTACAATGAAGCATTACTCAACAAAAAAGAGAAAAGGAACAAACTATTGATACATGCTGTGACATGAACAGACCTCAGAATCATTATAGTGAGTGGAAGAAACCAGACACAAGCAACCATAAACTGTATGATTCTATTTACATGAAATGTCAGAAAAGGCAAATCTATAGAGATAGAAGGTAGATTAGTGGTTGCAGGATATGGGATGGGAGATGAGGATTAACAGTGAAAATGAAGGATCTAATTGGGGTGGAAATACTCTAAAACTGCTTTCTGGTGATGGTTACACAACTCAGTAAATTTATAACAATCTGAATTGTCCACTTGAAATGGGTGAATTATTTGAAATGCAAAATATGTCTCAGTAAAGTGTGTGGGGGGAGAAGGAGGGAGGGAGGGAGGTGGAGACAGACGGGGGGAGAGAGAGAGAGAGAGAAAGAGAAGGAAAGAGAAAGAAGGAAGGAAGGAAAGAAAGAAGAGAGAAAAGGAAAGAAGAAAGGAAAGAAAGAAAAGAAAGAAAGAAAGAAAGAAGGAAAGAAAGAAAGAAAAAGGAAAGAAAGAAAAAAAGAAGGAAGGAAGGAAGAAAAAGAAAGGGAGGAAGGAAGGAAGGAAGGAAAGAACGAAGGAAGGAAAGAAGGAAGGAAGGAAAGAAAGAAAAGAAGGAAGGAAGGAAGGAAGGAAAGAAAGAAAAGAAAAGGTTGGAGCCAGGCTGTTTGGATCTGAAACCTGGCTCTGCTACTTACTAGCTGTATGATCTCAAGTAAGTTTAACCTCTTTTTATCTCAGTTTCTTGCCAATAAAATTGGGGAAAATAAGAAGTTATTTAGCACAAAGCCGTGCTGGGAAGATTGTGGTGATACTTCAAGAGTGCTGGGCTGGGCGCAGTGGCTCACACCTGTAATCCCAGCACTTTGGGAGGCTGAGGCAGGCGGATCACAAGGTCAAGAGATCGAGACCATCCTGGCTAACACGGTGAAACCCCATCTCTACTAAAAATACAAAAAATTCGCCGGGCATGGTGGCGGGCGCCTGTAGTCCCAGCTACTCGGGATGCTGAGGCAGGAGAATGGTGTGAACCGGGGAGACAGAGCTTGCAGTTAATCGAGATCGCGCCACTGCACTCCAGCCTGGGCGACAGAGTGAGACTCGGTCTCAAAAAAAAAAAAAAAAAAAGTGCTTAACACAGAGCCGGGACCCTAGAAAGAGCTCAAAAGATATTAGCAATATTTAGCCTACCAAGGATTCAGCACGGACTTAGTTGAACTTAAGTCAAATCTTGGAGAATTTGGACAGTGGCTTGCAGAGGATATTGACTGGTCTTGTGAAAATGACTCCTGGGGAGCCTGAGAACCTACAGCCTATGATTTGTCAGTCGCATGTAGACTGGGGGATTGGAACACAGGAGCCTCAAAGATGAAGAGTTTTTTTCCACCACAGTAGCAGTTACAGAGGCGTCATCCTGCTGCCCATAAATGTGGCCACAACGTGCAACGTTTCAGCCGCAGTTCAACAAGTATTTAGGTAACACCCACTCCCTGCCAGGTCCTGCTGGGGCAGAGGACAGGTGATTTGGAGGCACACAGGAGGGACATCTCACCTTGCCTATGCAGTTTTCTAGAGGATTGATACATTAGCATGACCTGAGAACCCCTAGAAGTTACCCAGATGAAGGGTTGCAGAGAGTTACCCAGGCAGAGGGCATAGCTTGAATAAAGCCCAGAGGCGATAGGGAGCTTGCTGAGTTCAGTGAAATGAGGATGTGGAAAGCAGAGTGACAAGAAGAAAAACTTGGGGTCCCAGGGAAAGGTCTTGGGTGCCATGATAAAGAATTTTATTGTAAATAGTGCTGCAATAAACATACGTGTAGATGTCTTTATAGTAGAATGATTAGAATACATGGACACAGGGAGGGGAACATCACACACCGGAGCCAGACGAAGGTTGGGGGGCAAGGAGAGGGAGAGCATTAGGACAAATACCTAATGCAACTGGGGCTTAAAACCTAGATGATGGGTTTATAGGTGCAGCAAACCACCATGGCACATGTATGCCTATGTAACAAACCTGCACATGACATTCTGCCCATGTGTCCCTGAACTTAAGGTAAAAAAAAAAAAAAAAAAAAGGCCATCTAGAGGGAGAAAAGGGGAAAAAACAAAAATAATTTTATTTATCCTGAGGAGTCAGTGGAGAGTTCTAAGCAGGTTCTTGATATCTTTCGGCTCAGAAATCTTCAAGTAGATGGTTCCAAATGGCATCTACTATCATACTTTAAGAGAGCCTGCTCTGTTGATTAGGAGCAAATAAATGTCCTCCTGGATGTATGTGGCCTGGGTTTTGCATTTGGGCTACTCAAATGCAAGTTGCTCCTGGGACCACATCCATGCTAGTGGCTGGCTGAAAAATGGCTTCATGGCTCTCATGAGGGGAATAAAAGACATGGAGTGGTGGCTGTGAGCCTGTCTGCAGGGCCAGACCTCAGAAAAGCAGAGGGTTGTAAATGTTTCATAAACTTCTCTCTGGGTGCTTGCTCTGGCTGAGAGCCCATTCATAAGCCGAGGCGGCTGAGGGGCAGGTATTGTGCCGGTTACTATAGCATCACCTTGGAAAGGCTCACTTGGTGAGAGCCGCAGGCGAGCTGGGGTGGGGCAGGAGGGGGACGCGGCTGGCTGCAGGGGCTGGAGCTAGGCCACGGATGCTGCTGCTGGTCTCAGGACTTCTGGTGGTCTGGAGTTCATGTTAGCGTCCCCAGCTGCAGCCCAGGGACAGAGAGAGGCTGCGCTCAGTCTGAGAGTGGCTGCCTGAGACAGCGGCCACAGGCTGCTGCAGAGCGTGTAGCTTTTGCAAGGGGCTGAATTCCCAGCCAGACATCCCTTGGCCTCTTTTTTGGAGGGGTGGGGAGCAGAGACAGGAGGGAGTTGTCTTGTCTTGGAAGACCCGGGCTGGGTTTCATCTCCTTTTTGATTTTGAGTAATTCCCTCCATGAGAACTGACTTCCAGGTGTTCACCAAGGGAAACAAGGTGGTCCTCACACTGGAAATGAGAAAGGATGACAGTTTCTGAGACTGACTGTTAACGGCTCAGAGGTACCCTTCATTCAAAATGCCTTTTAAAGCATTTGATACCTTCAAAGAAAAAATTCTGAAACCTGGGAAGGAGGGAGTGAAGAACGCCGTGGGAGATTCTTTGGGAATTTTACAAAGGTAAAGTTTGAATGTGAACTTTAGTTCCTTTCTGAGTAGCTTCGTATTGCCAATATGTGAGAGATTTGGTATCACGTTTTTAAAACCACACTTTAATGTGGAGAGGATGGGTCAGATTAGATCCTTCTGGAGCCCCTTCTAGCTCCAGTAGTCTATGCCTGAAGGAAAAACAGATGCATTAAAAGTATTGGGTTGTATTAGAAAAATATCAAGACAAGTATTCTGTTTATATAGCTGGATTAGCACTTTCTGGAGATGATGATATTGCATATGGTATGTTTGGCATTGAATTAGAAAATATTTAGGGAGATAATATTTTATGTTAATTCATTAGTAATGACAAATATAGTTATGCCTTGAACTGAAATAATTTTTATGAGTTTTTCACTGAATCTTTCCACTATAAATGAAAATTAAATATTTGTAATTTTTAGCTTATTTAATAAAATATGTAAAGTGGTTCCTGATTGTATAGTTTGCAAAGAGAAGGATAGTTACACATTAGTCTGAAGGAGGTAACTTAAAAAATTTCTTTAAAGCAGAAAATCTCACATAATTGCAGTGGGAAAATGTTAAGTACTATCATTGAATTGAATGAGATTTTAGTCCAAACCAAAAAGTAAATATTTTTTAAAGTAAAATATATTAGTGGAAGGAGAGTTTGCCATAAATGAATGAATTAATGTGACATTTTAATTTATGAATTTGTATAGACATAGTAAATGCCTTCTCAAATTATATAAATGATTTCATAAGTGGTCCTTATGTGCAAGGTAAAATGACTGCTTTATCTCTCTGATATAAATAAATGTGAAAAATACCTTTGATAAGCTTTTCATTTGCTTGGATGATTATTTCTAATCCTGGTGAGTGAAAATGTCATCTGGTGTGTCCTTTAACTTTTCTGTTATCTCTTAAATTTAAAAACTTTTTCATTTAAAGGACTATTTCCAGGCAATCTGAGATTTATCCCATTTCTTGTGTTTTAAGACACATATGCTCTTATCAGTGTTAAATTTTCCATTGTATCACTGCTAATAAGCTTTCCTAATAAAAAAAAGGGTTGGACACCTTATTATTTTAGTAATTAAAGACAAAAAGGCTTCAATGAGACCTACACTGAATTAGCATGTCTAGATGAAAACCTAGCTCAATGACAGCAGCAGAAACCAGCCAAATATAGAAAAAATTACAATAACATTTTTTTCAGAGTGTTTTATCCTTCTGTTGAGCACTCCCCAGGTAACATCTTATTGTGATGGCGTTCATTTGATTAGAAATGCAAAAATAATTTTTGCATAATAAACACAATAGCTTAATTGGCTTATTCAAGTGATGACAAAGGAATCTGGCAAAGCCAAGAATGAAAACCATAGGCCAGGCGCAGTGGCTCATGCCTGTAATCCCAGCACTTTGGGAGGCGGAGGTGGGAGGATTGCTTGAGGCCAGAAGTTCGAGACTAGCTTGGGGAACATAGAGAGACCATGCCTCTAGCTTGGGGAACATAGAGAGACCATGCCTCTACAGAAATATAAAAAATTAGCCAGCATGATGGCGCATGCCTGTCATCTTAGCTTCCCAAAAAGTGGGAGTATTGCTTGAGCCCAGACATTTAAGGTTGCAGTGAGCCAAGATCGTGCCTCTGTACTCCAGCCAGGGTGGCAGACACAAAACAAAACAAAACAAAAAAACAAAATAAAATTAAAAAACCCATGATGTTGGGCCATACTCACCATTATAAACAGCAAACTCTGCCTTAGTTTATAAAATACTTGATATAAAATAATACTTAGGAATTTTCTTTTCAAACTTAAGTTTAATTGATTTTTTTGAAATTTAATTGCTTTTTTCAATAGGAATTATTGATCTAAGAGCCGGTTTTGCTATGTTGGATTGGAGGAGCCACATGGAGATCTTTTTATTTACCAAATTGGTTTGCTTAGGGATATAACAAAATTGGTGATTTTCCAAATTGTGTGACCTCAACCAGAAATTGGGCTATGTGTCTAGGACTGTTTGAACAGTTTCCTCAGAACAATAGAAAAACAGCTAGCACGGTGCTAGGGACAGAGAATGCACTAAACAAATACTAGATATTGTCATAGTTGTCCTAATTGTAGAATGGCTTTAGAAAAAATAAAGCCAAGGTCAAATGCCTGTTTTCAGTGATCTATAGAGAGATTATTGGCAGAAGAAGTGAAAACAGACATTGCTTGAGCGGTGATTCGAGTTGATCCTCAGTTCTAGTGAGGAATTATCAAGACCAGCTCTGCCACATGTTTGGCATTAACCGCAGGTGTATAAGGTAATTGTATGTAAATGACCCTGCCCAGAGCCTGGCATATACTGGGCATCTCCCTCTCATTTCATTGCTTTTCACATAAAACCAGTTGACAGAATCCGATGTAAAAAAATCACAAAGAACTGTTTTCTGTTTTGTAGGAGAATTTGGAAGCTAGAAGCCCCTACATTCTAACTTACAAGGCAATGTAAATCACGGCTGTCTAATAATGTTTGAGGCTGAGGTCATCATCTAAATGGAATTCTTGAGATGCTTTTTAATCACAGTATTCCTCACGGTCAGGGGAGTGGCAATTGCACAGGGAAGCATTTGAGAGTTCGCACACAGGGTTGATTACAGTCAGGCATGATTAACCTTCCTGGAAAACAGTCATTGATAAGAAGCAGCTGAGCAATTAATCAGCTAAAGGTAAAATAATATATTAGAAGTGTATGAAGAAAGAAGATGCACTCATTTATAGTTTAGTATTGAATTATATAGATGACATAGAAAGCATTGAACTTGGAAATTAATGTCTAGAAATTGACATGCAGATTTGTTCAATTTAAATTATAATTTATGTATCCTTTAATTGTTCATGTCTAAAAAACATAATAGTGACAAACAAAACAGTATCTTTCAGATAAGTAAACTCATTTAACTCTATTAAAAACCCCATAGAGAGGGGATTACTATAATTACAACTTTTCTTTTTTTTTAAGATAGGGTCTCGCTCTGTTGCCTAGGCTGGAGTACAATGATGTGATCATAGCTCACTGCAGCCTCAAACTCCTGGCCTCAAGCCATCCTGCCTCCTTGGCCTCCCAAAGTGCTAGGATTACAGGCATGAGCCACAGCATCTAGCAACAATTTTACAGATGAGAAAACTGAGGCACAGAGAGGTTAAGTAGCTTGCCCAAGGTCACACAGCTTGTAAATGTCAGAGCTGGGTTTCAAACCAGATATTCTGTGCCCATCATTCTTAATCACTACATTATGTTACCTTTCTAATCAAGTGTCTTTCCTCTTCCTACTGATTGTCTTGATATTGGGCCGCTTATTTAGGGAGGTATACTTGGACTGCAATGTAGCCAGCAACTTCTGGACCTGCTGGCAAGTATGGGCTGTTCTCCTAACTGGTTGTACCTTTATTGAAGGCTTTCTCCAAGGGAGGCTTAAGGAGAGTCTGGTCTCTTTACAAGTATGTCTCTCTTCCCTTTAAATGAAACTAGTCCCTGCATTGTGTCTGTCCTTAGCATTCAGGAGTGTGCCAGATATGCACTTCCTGCTCCATCAACAAAGGCGAGTGTGTTAAAGCTTGCTCTGAGATCAGGCGATCCTGGGTTCCAATTGGTGCAACATCCCTTACTTCCCTGCCTGCATGACCTCTGGTAACTTGGCTGCAATGGGGTGACTCTAGGAAACCAAGTCAGATTACATCTCACCCCTGCTCAAAGCTACCTCACTCAGAGTTAAAGCCAGTGTCCTTTCAATGGCCTTCAAGGTCCTCTGTGATCTAGGACTTTTGGACGGCTCTCTGAGTTCATCTGTGACATTTACCTACCTCACTCTACTCTGGATTCACGGGCCTCCTGGCTCTTATTAGAACTCCCCAGATCCACTCCTGTCCCAGCTTTCGCCCTATCTGTTTCTTTTGCTTAAATGCTTTCCTCCCAGATAGCCTAATGGCTCATTCCCTCACTTTCTTCAAGTCTCTGCTCAAAGATCCCCACTTTCCTGGCCATTCTATTGAAACATGAAGCTCACCTGCCCTCCTCCTCCTGCCCTCTTCTCCGTCCCTCTTTCCTGCTTTACTTCACCTCTGTCTTAGGTAGGTTCCCTAAAAAGCATAGCCTGAGACAGGGATTTGGGTGAGCCTATAATGTGAATTAATGAGCTTTTCCTGAAAAAACTGGGAGGGAGTAAAACAACAAAGGAAAGGAGAGGCTGGATGAGGTGGCTCATGCCTATAATCCTAGCATTTTGGGAGTCCAAGGCGGGTAGATTGCCTGAGTTCAGGAGTTTGAGACCAGCCTGGGCAATACGGTGAAGCCCCGTCTCTACTAAAAGACAAAAAATTAGCCAGGTATGGTGGTATAGGCCTATAGTCCTAGCTACTCAGGAGGCTGAGGCAGGAGAATTGCTCGAATCCGGGAGGCAGAGGTTGCAGTGAGCCGAGATCACACCACTGCACTGCAGCCTGGATGACAACGGGAGACTCCGTCTTCAAAAAACAAAAAAAAAAAAAAAAAGAAAGGAGAAAGAGCCAAGCAAGGATGCACACTCACAATGCCCGGGGGCCAGATCCACAGGGGAAGGCTCTGGAGCATAAGCCATGTGCTGGTCCTTCCTTTGGGGCAAGTGGGGCAGCCTTTTATATCTCTGCCTCAGTCAGTCATCAGCTCTGGGTTGATGGGGGTGGGTGAGGGGTTTCTTTGGAGGCCACTGAGCAGTGGGAAGTTTTCCAGGGTTCCTCATGCCAAGACTAGAAGCCCCGGCAAGGAGTCACCATGGTTGCAAGGGTCATGGGGTCCTGATCCTCAGGAGGAACCAGAACTGTCACCTCATCGTGGGAGCAGGAAGAAATGTGTTTGGCACCTGGGTGGCCCACTCGGACATCTCCTGATACTGCCTGGGCTAGTTTTATTATTTTTTTAATTTTAATTTTTAAAATAATAGAGATGGGGGTCTCACCATGTTGATTAGGCTGGTCTTAAAC